AACATAATCAGGAATTATTACTATTATTTCCCTTTTTAATATTTTGTCTTTTAAGAATTTTTCAAAGCAATTTCTTGAATAAAATAAAATAAAATAAAGAAACAAGCGGTCAAAGTTGTGGACATGTCCTCAGTTCTCTGTCTGCTCCTTTGTCCTCAGGCTGGGGGAAGGGGGCAGAAGTCCCCCCCAACAAACACACCTCCTCAATTATTTCTCTGTAGGCATGTCCATACCTCAGCCCTCTCTCCTGGCAGTTTTAATGAGAAGAAGAATTAAAAAGTAAAAGAAGTCCATGCAGCACTCACTTGTCTCTCCTGCAGGATGAAAAGCTTCCTGTCATCAGGCGCCTTTGATTTGTTTCCTCCTGGATGTTGGATTATAAACTGAGAGACGCTCAGTGTTTGTGAAGAGAGGAAGTGATGCGCGTGTGCAGACAAAATTATCAGAAAAAAAAACCGAAAGAAAGAAAAGAAAAGGGGAGAGGAGAAGGAGGGGTGTGCTGGGAAACCAATGGAAATTTATTTGGCAAAGTGATGAGGCAGTATAGACTCTGATGTTAGACCAGCATAAAGGGTCTTTAAGGCCACCAGACGCCATCTTTTTTCATTTATCTGTTTATTTACTTGTTTGTTACTTTAAATTGTGTGTAAAATTTCATGCCTTTTTTCCTTAAAATGAAAAAAAATGAACAGAGGCTTGACATGAAACAAAACACAAACAAACAAATAGGAAAAAACAAAAAGAATGACTATTTTATTTTTATCAAGATTTTAAATGTGCTGGAGTATTCAGCGCTAATTTTTACTGCTCTGATTTAATCTCAGTTAGACATAGTTATGACTCACTACAAAATATATTGTGATAACACAACAAACAGTAATTGTTACATTATGCATATGTCATGTAAACAACGTTTTAATAATGTCAATGAATGTCTCATAAAAATAAATTTAATTTAGTTTATTTACTTAAACTGTAAGTAAACTTAAACTTACTTAAGTAGTAAGTAAGTAAGTAAGTAAGTAAGTAAGTAAGTAAGTAAGTAAGTAAGTAAGTAAGTAAGTAAGTAAGTAAGTAAGTAAGTCAGTAAGTCAATAAGTAAGT